GAGCCAAAGTTGGACACTTAACTGACTGAGCCACCCAAGTTGCCCCTGGAACATTAACATTTAGGAGACAGAGAGAGAGCCAGCAGAGTAGACTGAAAGAGAGCAGATAAAAAGGAAGATGAAAATATTAATATGAGGAAAAGGAGCAAGCACTTAATGAATGCTTACTATGTGCTAGATGTTGGTTGTACTAAGTGATTTATGTGCACTACCTCATTTAATCCTTAGACACTCTCTAAGCAACTTATTGCTACCTGCTTCATTATAGATGTGGATACTTTGGTTTAGGGAGATCAACTTGCTCAGGTTTACACACTTGGTTGGGTGTAAGAAGTACAACCAAGATCAGATCACACTGAGTCCTCTAGAGCCCTTGTTCTTAACTGCTACACTATACTGCTTTCTTATGAAAGTCTTAAAAAGTGTGGTATCACAGACACATAAAAACCAGTGATTCAAAAAGAAAGACACTTGGGGCGCCTGGGTGGCGCAGTCGGTTAAGCGTCCGACTTCAGCCAGGTCACGATCTCGCGGTCCGTGAGTTCGAGCCCAGCGTCAGGCTCTGGGCTGATGGCTCAGAGCCTGGAGCCTGTTTCCGATTCTGTGTCTCCCTCTCTCTCTGCCCCTCCCCCGTTCATGCTCTGTCTCTCTCTGTCCCAAAAATGAATAAAACGTTGAAAAAAAAAAATCAAAAAGAAAGACACCATCCCAGTAGCAATGAGTTCATCCAGCACCGAGATCTTGGTTTCTAATAACAGTCTCCATTAAAAGGAATCAGGAATCTTTGGGAAAATGGCTGATCTGAGAAGTAGGCAAGAAATAATGTAAAATGAGCCTGGAACATCTTGGAGTGCTAAAGAAATAAGTGCTCAAAACAAAAACAAACACAAAACCACACCCACAACGAGGGACATATGCCAAAGGAACACAGAAAACCAACTGTAGCCACAGCTGTATCAACTCAAGCAGAAAATTAAGTAAGTATTGGACTATAACCCAGAGTATAAATGAAATATCAGGTACAAACTAAATAATATAAATCAAGCATTAAATAAATAAGTGAAGAAACAAGAGAGAAGAGACAAATCTAGGGTGCAAAAGAATTCCAAATAAATTATGTAGATACTCCCCCTCCCAGAAGTAGAGCAACCTCTCCACTTCTCAAATATGGGTTCCACATAATGACTTCCTTCCAAAGACTACAGTATGGAAAGGGGGAGAGGTTAAAAAGTCACTTTATAGTACAGAAGCAGGACAAACATTACCTCAGCCAAGTGATCAAAGTTCACATCGACAATGATAAGTCATGTTGATAGTATGGACCTTTGATATGCTGTGATGAGAACGGCACTTTATCTCTGTGGTTCTTCTCAAAAACTCATAACTCCAATCTAATCATGAGAAACACATCGGAAAAATCCCAATGGAGGGCCATTCTACAAAATACCTGAACACCCCTCAAAACTGTCATTAAAAACACAGAAAGTCTGAGATACTGTCATAGCCAAAAGGAGGCTAAGGATGATGGTCATGAAATGTAATGTGGTATCCTGGATGCTCTCCTGGAACAGAAAGAGAACATTAGCTAAAAATTAAGGAAATCTGAAGAAGTTGCACTTCTGTTAATTAACATATGTTGATTTTGGCTCATTAATTGAAAAAACTGTACTAAACCAATGTATGATGTTAGCAGTAGGAGAAACTGACTAAGGGGTTTATGAGAACTCTCTTGAACTCTCTCTATAATTTCTCTGCATATCTAAAACTATTCTAAAAGTAAAATATTATTTAAAAAACAAGAGGGGAAATTAACTGCATGAAATGCTGATAAACAACAAAGAAAAAAAACAAAGATCAAGAGCAGTTTCAGTGGATTATTGGAGTCAAAGCCAGATTACATTGGGCAGAGGAGTAAATTAAAGCTGAGAATGGGATTATAAGTGCATAGCTTTTTCCAGAAGTTTGACAATGAGGGGAAGAACAAATCAGAGCTGGAAACAGACATCAAGTTAAAGAAAGTGGTTGGTGGTTTTTTTTTTTTTTTAAATAAAGGTATAATTCACATACCAAAAATTTATTTTTGTACTTTTTGTATTTTTGTACTTTTAAAGTACAATTCAGTGGTTTCCAGTATGTTCACAAAGTTGTATAACCATCACCACCATTATCTATTTCCAGAACATATTTCTTACTTCAAAAAGAAATGATACAATCAAACAGGCCCTGAATATATGAAATATTTTGATGAATAGGAGGACTTCACATTGTTAAGGTGTCAATAAAACTAAAGCGATTTACAGATTCAATGCAATCTCGATCAAAATTCTAACAGCCTTTTTTTTTTTTTTACAGAAATGGAAAAGCTGATCCTCAAATTCATGTGGAATTACAAGGAATCCTAAATAGCAGAATAATCTTTAAAAATAATAAAGTTAAAGGGCTCACACTTCTCAACTTTGAAACTTATTACAAAACTACAATAATTTAAAACAGAATGGTACTGGGGGTACCTGGGTGGCTCAGTCAGTTAAGTGTCTGACTCTTGGTTTTGGCTCAGGTCATGATCTCACCATTCTGTGAGTTTGAGCCCCACACTGGGCTCTGTGTTGACAGCACAGAGCTTGCTTGGGATTCTGTCTCCCTTTCTCTCTGCCACTCCCCCCTGCTCTCTCTCTCTCTCAAAAATAAATTAATTAATTTAAAAAACCCCATTATGGTACTGACATATGGACAGACATATATACTAAGGGAAAATAATAAAAAGCCCAGAAATAAACCTTCACATATATGGCCAACTTTTTTTGACAAGGGTGCTAAGACCTTGACCTCTATTATAAACAGTAATGGAAAAACTGGTTATCCATATGCCAATTTGATCCTTACCTTATATAAAAATTAACTCAAAATGGATCAAAGACCTAAACTAAAGAACCAAGACTATAAAATTCTCAGAAGGAAGCATTGAGGAAAATCTTCATGACACTGGATTTGGCAACCATGTGATGGATGTGACAAGAAAAGCACAGACAACAAAAGAAAAAACAGATGAACTGGACTTCCACTAAATAAAGAACTTTTGCACATCCAAAGAGATGATCAAGAAAGCGAAAAGACAACCTACTGAACAGAAGAAAATATCTGCAAATCATTTATCTCGTAAGGGATCAATATCCAGCATACATAAAGAATCCCTAAAACACAACTCCAAAAACTGGAGTAGACCTTTCAAAGAAGATATATAAATGGCCAATAAGCACATAAAAAGATGCTCAACACGACTAGTTACTAAAGAAATGCAAATCAAAATTACAGTGAGATATCACTTCGTATCTACCAGGATGGCTATAACAAAACAAAAAACAAATAAATGTTGACAAGGATGTGGAGAAACTGGAACCTTTGTGCACTGTTGGTAGGGATGTAAAATGGTACAGCTACTGTGGAAATCAGAATGGTAATTCCTCCAAAAAATTAAAAATAGAATTACCATATGACCCAGAAATTCCACTTCTAGGTATATACCCAAAAGAATTGAAAGAAGGGTCCCAAAGAGATATTTGTACTCCCTTATTCATAAAAGCATTATCCACAGCAGCTAAAACACTGAAGCAACCCAGGTGTCCAGTGATGGATGAATGATAAGCAAAAGTGGTATACATACACAATGGAATAGTATTCAGCCTTAAAAAGGAAGGAAATTTTGACATATACTACAATATAGATGAACCTTGAGGACATTATGTTAACTGAAATAAGCCAGTCACAAAATGACAATTACTATTAGGATTCCACTTACATGTGGTACCTAGAGTAGTCAAAATCATAGAGACAGAAAGAACAGTGGTTGCCAGAGACAACAGGGAAAAGGAGAGTGGGGGGTTATTGTTTAAAGAGTATAGAATTTGAATTTCACAAGGTGAAAAGAGTTATGGATATGGATGGTGGTGATGGCCACACAACATGAATGTACTTAATACCACTTAAAAATGGTTAAAGTTGTAAATTTTACATTCTGCGTATTTTACTACAATGACAAAATTGGGGAAAAATGAAAAGCATTAAGGCTTGTGGTGTCGCTTTCACTGTTTCATACACATAATTAAATTCTCACAGACATTATTAAGCTAGATTTTTTTTATACTGAAATACAGACTTCTCTACTCTTCTCTCCAGAGCATATAGCCTACCTTGGACATAAACCCTTTGAGGAAGCTGATGTTTCTCTCATAGCTATGAGTATATAATGATATCTATTTTGTTCCTACCTTTATAATGAAAAATTTCAAACATATACAAAGGAAGAGAGAAAGGAATAATGAAACCCCTTACAGCTATCCACTCAGCTTAAAATACTTAATCAACTCATAGACAGTTTATCTATAATTCCACTCACTTTACTCTTCTTCCCCCAGTGGATTATTGTGAAGCAATTCCAAACATCGTATCATTTCAACCATAAATATTTCAGTATATTATCTCTACATACTAAAAGATACTGATGAAAGATACATACTGAAAGATACAGACAGTGTCCTGCATAAATTCCTGTACTGGTGGGTCAGATTTCTGATATAAGCATTCCTCCAGGAAACCATATATTAGATACAGAAATGTTATGTATATTCATTCATTCTACTGTACTTCCTTACAACTTAAACTACTAGAATGTAGGACTATCAAACAAGAAAATCAAGAAAAAAAGTAGCTTGAACAGTTACTTTCAACAGCAAGAGGATCATTTATCAAGGGTGGTCTTAGAGACCTCTTAGGAAAGAGATGGAGAAAAGTAACACAAATATCACACACACTCAACCTCACTCTCTCCCCACCTCTCACAACTGACTTTTATATGATATAAGTTATTTGGTATATTATAACACAACCCAGTGATACTATATAACAATCATTATATGTAAAGTAATACTCATAGCTGCATATTTTATAAAACAAATGCAATCAAACTGGCTCAATGCAGAAAATTGCTATTCAACTGTCCTTACCTTTTGTTGGACTGAGATTCTGATCTATAAATCCTCTTAGTTCTGCATTTGTGGAAGGCAAACCAACCTGAATAAAATAGTTTTAAAAATTAAAAATAGAATCTTAAGTATTATGTGATCATTTAATAAGTTATTTTATACCTTCCACTGAAGATCCCATGTAAAATAATAAACACAGCCACATAAAAATGAATTAATTATATCAACAATAGGAGTAGAAATTAAAAGAAAATGTTACTTGCAATGGGAAAAGCAGGAATTGTACAGATTAAGATAAAAATCAATGAAATAATGTTACTTGTGAGCAGAACTGAGACCTACAGATTTTACTGATGGTTTTTTTGAAAGCAAGTTGTGACAGCCATGAAGCTGCCAACAGATTTACCAAAATTCCATTTTCATGTTGCCCTTAATTTTTACTATTCATAATCACTGCCTATTATGTGTTTTTCAACATTATGATATGTAATGGATCAGATAAAGACCATTAATACTATACCACAGAGGTGAGATCTACTGGTCTCAAATACAACTGCTTGGGCTCATATTCTGGTTCAGTAAGACACATGGTCATGTTCAAATCACACAAGCTCTCTATACCTCAGTCTTCTGAACTGGTGCTAGAAGTGCTTATCAGTTTAGGTTATTAGAAAGATTAAGATAATTCATATAAAGCATCTAGCCCAGTGTAAGGCACAAAGTGCTCAATTCATGTTAACCTTCATTACTATTAATATGATACCTGGGGGCTATCTATAACAAGTGTAACCATAAATTCACCTTGAGGCAATTTATTTCATTTAATGTGATGGCCACTGGACTTCCTGGAATCATAGAGCTAAATACAGTAGTATCATCAGAGTTTAAAAAATTTATTATAGAGCCAGGAATGAAAAGACTCTACATTTTTGAAAACTTGACATAAAGCAAGATTCTAATAAATTGTTCTACTATTACTATTATGCTATTGTTTTAATCCTTGTAGATTTGTAATCTACCAAATGCTAACTTGGTACCTCAAACATCCTTTCAAAGTACTACCACACTGAAAAGATTTTAAAGCACACAAAGGTTTATAACTTTATGTCTGTGCACTTGTGTTGTTTTTAAACTACACACTGTATTAGCATTATATATTCTTCATGAGAACTCATTTGATACTTGACAATTTCACAATGTAAGAGCTAATTATTTCATTATTTAATAATTCAAATGCACTACTAATAGCTGTTTCTTTTTGTCAAGAGATATGTTACCAGAAATATTTCTACATATCATTCACATCATGGAAAAGTAATTCTGATGCAAACCTATTTCTCTCATTGAATACCAAATTTTTATGACAGCAGCTGAGCAGAAGACATCTAAAATGTAGCTTCTTAATCCTATGTATATAATGGTGCAGATACTTAATTCTATCTAGCTTCTTATAAGTATGCTATTAGAAGTAAACCCTTTGCAACAAAATTTGCAACAAATTACCACTACATGGATCTCCAGAGTTGTTCACAAATATTAATGGCAAGCGTTTACTTGTAAATGCCAAGAGTTTACTGTGGCATCACTAACATGCCGCCCTTTTATAACAAAATTTTTTGCTATAAAAAGAGAAAGACAAAACTTTCATTGGTGTTCTACTGTAAAAAGAAAGCAAAGAAGGCGAAGACAGACTTTAATATTCCAACGTTAATACAATGTGATCATTTAATACATGTGTTACAACTATTTCAAAAGCATTAGTTTATACCTTTTTGTTACTAAACAAAGATAACGGCAAAAACCTCAACTGAAACCACATATTCACAGTGGAGAGAGTTCACAGTTACTGAGTTACTGTTATGCTTAAACACCTGCTCTTAATGGCCAACTTCTGCAGAGTGAAGCAGTGAATCAATTTGGTAACTTTTAAACAGAAGTACATTTGCATCTTAATAACCAACAAATTACACACTAAGAAGACAAAGGTCAGTTGTGGGTCAATACTATATGCTGATTTGGGTCTAGTAGATGGAGAAGTGTTTGTATCTAGACTTTAAATAAACACTAAAATTAATTTAATTAAAATTTCAAAAATGCAATAATTTCTGCTTTCATAAACACTTTATAGTTTAAAGATAAAGAAAAGGATTATTTGAGAATAGAAAAAGTTGGCTAGGAAAGGCATTTAAAAACAGCCTTTTTCCTTCTTCTACTTAAAAAGGATATAATAATAATGGTTCACAGAGCAAAAGAAAAAAGTGAACTCACTTTATGTAAAATTTTTTACCTAACAAGGTCCTGAGAAAAGTCTTCTACTGGGTTATTCAAACACTGTGCTGCACACTGTAAACAGTCACTAAATGTCTGTAGAATAAAAAATATCCAAGCCTAGTTTTTAAGAATAAAACCATATTTCCCACTAACAACATTATAATTTCATTGACAATAACATATTTAGATTGACAAAACTGAAAGACAACAAGATTCAGAGTGAGATGATTTGTATTCCAAGTTCAGCTCTGACATTTACAAGCAAGGTGATCTTGGAACAATCACTACAAAATGGAGCTGACAAAACATGTGCACAACAAACTCAGAGAGCTCCTTAGATCAAATTAAATAATTATGTGAATATGATTATTAATGAAAGCAATGCTCAAGTGTGGATTGTTATTCAAATGGTAATGGTAATGGCTTTTAACTTTTCAACACTGACAGTCAATTCATAGGAGATGCAAGTGACCAATGAATGAATGAACATACAGCATACCAGTCTGACCTAGCTAGTAATGAGGCAAATGAATAAATTACATACCATTTTTTGCTGGTTATACTGACAAAGATTAAAAAGAAAATAACGGGGGGGGGGGGGAGGGGGCGCCTGAGTGGCCCAGTCAGCTGAGCTACTCAGGTCATGATCTCACAGTTCATGAGTTGGAGCCTAGAGCTCACTGCTGACAGCACAGAGCCTGCTTCAGATCCTCTGTCCCCTTCTCTCTGCTCCCTCCCCTGCTCGCATGCACGCTCTCTTTTTCTTTCTCTCAAAAATAAACATTAAAAAAAAAAAAAAAAAGAAAGGGGAATGGCACTCTCATATACCACTGATGAATATATAAATTGGTGCAACCTTTCTGAAATGCAATTTAGCAATATGAAACAAAAGCCCCCAAAAGCACACACCCTTTCCGCCAGTAATTTCATTAAGACTTTGCCTTATGAGAATAATCCAATGAGTAAGCAAAAAAAAAAAAAAAAAAGAAAAAAAGTTAAAAAAAAAAAAGGAAATAACTTGGGGTGCCTCAGTGGTTCAGTCAGTTAAGCATCCGACTTCAGCTTAGGTCATGATCTCACAGTTTGTGAGTTTGAGCCCCACATCAGGCTCTCTTCTTTCAGTGCAGAGTCTGCTTCAGTTTGTCTGTCCCCCTCTCTCTTCCTCTCCTCCACTCTCCTTCACTCTCCGTCTAGAAATATAAATAAACTTAAAAAATATAAAAATAGAGGGGCGCCTGGGTGGCTCAGTCAGTTAAGCGTCTGACTTCGGCTCAGGTCATGATCTCAAGGCTTGTGAGTTTGAGCCCCGAGTCAAGCTCTGTGCTGACAGCTCAGAGCCTGGAGCCTCTTCAGATTCTGTGTCTTTCTCTCTCTCTGCCCCTCCCTGCTCACTTTCTGTCTCTCAAAAATAAATAAACATTTAAAAAAATTTTAAAAATATATAAAAATAGAAATAACTTAATGGCCAATATTAAGAAAGTATAATGCCGGGGCGCCTAGGTGGCGCAGTCGGTTAAGCGTCCGACTTCAGCCAGGTCACGATCTCGCGGTCCCTGAGTTCGAGCCCCGCGTCAGGCTCTGGGCTGACGGCTCGGAGCCTGGAGCCTGTTTCCGATTCTGTGTCTCCCTCTCTCTCTGCCCCTCCCCCGTTCATGCTCTGTCTCTCTCTGTCCCAAAAATAAATAAAAAGGTTGAAAAAAAAATTAAAAAAAAAAAAGAAAGTATAATGCCTATTTAGTAGATAACATAAAACAGTCATTTAAAATGATGTTGCAGAGATATTAAGATAAGAAAAGACATTCATCACAGAGATTAAGCTAAACAGTAGTTTACAAAACAGCATGACATTTTTATTAGAAATATATACATATATTTTTTACATACACACACACTTGTATATATACCAGATGTCTTCCTAGGCAAAATTCTGCTGCTAATCTCTATGCCATTTCCTTATCTGTATTTTCTAATTTTTCTATAATGAGTATCATGGCTTACATTTTTAAAAATGTTTTTTATTTATTTTTGACAGAAGACAGAGGGTGAGTCGGGGAGGTGCACAGAGACACACACACACACACACACACACACACACACACACACAGAGAGAGAGAGAGAGAGAGAGAGAGAGAGAGAGAGAGAGACATTGAATCTGAAGCAGATTCTAGGCTGTGAGCCATCAACACATAGCTCAATGCGGGGCTCAAACCCACGAAGCATGAGATCATGACCTGAGCCAAAGTCGGACGCTTAACCAACTGAGCCACCCAGGCACCCCAAGTCTTACATATTTTTTAAAAGATTATTTGACAAGGCTCAAAATACACATCAAATTACCTTCCACATTCTTGATTGTATATTGAGGGAGCTTAAGTGAGAACACACCAGCATTTGTGGTCATGAAGCGTATCAGTGGCTACCAGATACCATTTGACAACAATTTTACCTCGGAAACAGTGAATATATTGCCAGCTTTACAGAACTTACTTTTTGCAAAATGACCCATCCCACAATCCACGTAGTTCCAGGATGGCTGTTAATCCTTGAGCTTCAATTGTGCTATTTCAACAAAAGTGGACCCATGACCCAGACCTGGCCCACTTCTTTCTCTACTTGTCTAACTGAACATGTGGGCCAAGCAGGGTCAACCAAAGCTCCTCCATGGAATCTGAAATATACATGCTAAAAAAGAAAAGTTCCCTCTCTTCTTCTCATATAAGAATTATAAGGCCAATATAGGGTATTCTGCTACCATATAGAGCCAAGAGATGGAAAAAGGGAGACTAGATCCCTGACACCATCATGTGATCCCCTGAATCCAGATATGTTTGAAGCCACACTACGCCAAACTTTTCAGTTATGTGAATCAACACATTCCATTTTTTGCCTTAAGCTATTTTGAATAGGGTTGCTATCATTTGTAATCATGAGACCTACTATGGCATGGATAAGGCAAAAACAACTCTTCACAAAAAACGTGCTCTCGTAAGAGAAATGTAACATGAGAAACAGAAAATAAGGATGTAAATATTTGAGTATGTGTTTACTAATGCCTCTCTAAGACCTGCGTGTGTGTCTGAACTACTGAGTTAAGTGCCAAATGAGTCTCCTGCTTCTACTATGCCCCTCTTCAATCTATTGACTCAGCAGTCAGGACAAACTTTCTAAGATGGTAAGTCAGGTCATGCAATTATCCACCAAATCTCTAATGGCTCCTTACTGACATTTCAAATATACCCCCAACGCCCCAGTCCTTGAGGGTCCACATGATCCAGCCCCTGCTTCCCTTCTGACTTCATCCCATACCACTATCCCTTGCTTAGTCTGTTCCACTTATAAAACTGGTCACCTTGCTGTTTCTTAAACAACCACACCTTTTCCTGCCTCTACCTGGAATGGTCTTTTCCCATATATTCATATGATTGACTTCTTCTTGGATTGAGACTCAAGAGCATTGTCTGAATGTCATGCCCTTAAAGAGAACTCTCTGAACACCTGAGTTGAAAGAGCTCTCCCTTGCTACCATCACCCTCTTTCTTCTTACCCTATTTTATTTTTATTCGTGACATTTATCATTACCTGACAGTATATATGTATTCACTGTCTTCTCTCACTACACTATAAGCCCAAAGAAAGCAGGAGCCTAGAACAGGATCAGGTACATATATTTGGTGGGTGGGGGAAGAAGGAGAATGAATTGTTTGTGGCACTGTGAACTAGTATAATCCTTTCAGTAAGTATCTTGACAAAACATATTAAAAGCCACAAAAATGTTCGTATCTATTGCAGAATAGGTAGTAAACTTGATTGGTTATTTTCAGACAGTCTATTCCAATTCTTTCCCACATACATTAGCCTAATCTGAGGTTTGACTTCTCCATGTCCCTAAATCAAAGGTATCAAAAGACCATCAGCTCATCACTTATCCCTCTCCCCCTAGGATGCCATAGCAGAAAGAGAAATATATTGCTCACTGTTTGATTTCTTCCAAATATACAAACAAAATAATGGGAGTATAATCATCACTGGTTCAAATGTTTTATGCTACTTTAGGGAAACAACTTTTAATATAGTGAATTGTACATATGACTAAGAAGATGATATTTGATTCAAGGCATATTTGAAGCCAAAATATGCTTGCTATTTGAATGTTAACCATCTTGTGGTTCAGGATAACTTTTACCTCCCCTTTTTCCTAAAGGAGAAAAAAAAAATCAGGATAATATCCTATAAGAAAATTCCCTATACACAGACTAAAACTTTGTTTCTTCTTTCCCCCCAACAGCACTTTAACAAATATGTAATATGTAACAAATATGTAACAAATATGTAGATTAAAGCCTACTACTCCTGATAATTTATCCTAATGAAATTAATTAAATGATAATGAAACAAAATCTGTATCTGCTTACAGCTACTTATAGCATGTCAAAAGCAAAGTTAATAATAGGAAAATAGAGATAAATAATTAAGGTGTTTTTTTTTTTTTTATGTTATTCTTTAGATGTATAACAGGCAGTATTTGGAACTGTCTGGCTTACAAAAGACCTTTCCACACAACAGAATGCTGGCTCTTCCTGGTCACAATTAACGAAACCACTAGTAGACGTCACACTTGAGCAGTGTCAGAGGTCCACCCCAAGGAGTTTGGAATTGGAGCTCACGTGGGCAGACAGGATCTGTCAAGCTGCCTCCTTCCTTTCCTTCACACCTCTCTCTCTCTCTGAACAGGCTGGCTCTGTAACACGTATATTGAGATGCTGCCTGGAAAACTAAGGAGCATGATTTGCGGAGAGAGAGAGAGAGAGAGAGAGAGAGAGAGAGAGAGAGAATGAAGCAGATGCACACAGACAAGCAGAGTTAATAAATGGAAACTAAACACTGCTTCAGTTCCTGGTAGATTTCAAGTTCCTGTACTCAGATCTTTCTGAGGGCCCACTAAATTCCTACTCATAAATTGTTTGAGACATTCCTGTATCTTTATAATAAATTCCCTTTTTAAGGTAGCCTAAGCTGGCTTCTGTTACATGCAATCAAAGATTCCAACATCACAATCTGGGAACAGTAAAGCAATTGTAAGTTATTTCCCTAAATGTTGTAGTATTTATTTTCTAGCATAATCCTCACATAACTGGAAACAAATCCATTGATACAGCCTGACAATAAGAAAATAACTTGAAAGGAAGTAGATTCAGAAATGATAGCCTCAAGCAGAGGAAACAAACTGAATAAGTTCTCCAAAAAATCCAAAATCTAATGTCCCCTCAGGAATCATCTCATGGAAGATAGCAAGCTTCTTTTGAACAATATCCAGTATACATATTCCCTTATGTCCACAAGAAAAAAACTGGGCCAAAGAAAACAGTGATCTTCTAAGTAAAAATCTCCAGCAAGCATGAAAACAAATTTATTACAGTACCAAAAAAGGAGAGGGGTGGGAAACTTTCTACAGATGGAAATTTTGCAGCTGTTGAGAAGACACAACTTGGCAGCAATTTATAAGAATGCTACCGTGTCCAGTAGAATGCTATATTCAACAGCACTAAAGTTTACTATCTTGTTCTATGCATAAACAAAAAAAATTATAAATTAATGCCAGTAAAATGAACTTGATTAATTAGAATAGTGAAGAAAATGTACATAGGGAAAAGTACAACTCACATTAAGAATACTTACATTTAAAAATTTACAAATACTTACATTTTTTGCCGTCATGTCAAACTGTATTCGATTTAAAATTCTGTAAAGCCATTAAAAAACAAACAAAAACAAACAAAAAAAAACTTCGTCTTCAATAACTCCTTAAAAGAACATCCTGTTAAAAGGGGAAAAGAGAGGGAACAGTAATATAATAACAATAATAATAGGCAATGTTCATGTCATATTTACCAAGTGACATGCATTGTTCTTTAAGGGGATCATTTAAATTAATCTTCACAACACTATGAGACATACACCATTTTAACCCTCATTTTCCAGGTAAAAATTTGGGCTTATAGAAGTTAAAAACTTTGACCAATCAACTCAGCTAACAAGTGATAAAACCTGGGCTTTGAAGTATCATACTATGTTACTTTAGATAATGCAATGAAAGAAACACCAAGGCTCATTGGAGAAATAGCCAATTCCAGAGCTGGGGCAGGAGATGTACAAGATATGACTAGAACATTTTATTGTACAGTAAGGAAGAGCTCAAGAAATGATGGAGATATATCAAGAGTATACAGGAGCCAGCCTAAAGGGCCTACATACAACTGGACAATCTGGAACAACTGAGCGCCAAAGTATACAGTGACAGTAACTGATTATGACTATAAACTCTTTGAATGAAGTAACGATCCAGGACTGCATACTGATAAAAAGCAGATTAAACGAAATAATGAGGAGGAAGGGAAAGCTCTTCTTTGCAATTCAATACCAACTAGTAAATAAAAGGAATAACGACATAAGAAAACCACCAATTTGTAAACATCATAATAACTGATTAGACAAGGATCATTATTGGATACTACAACTAGTGGGTGAAAGTGGGTGAGAAAAAGGATATTTACACAGTCTTGAAATATCACCCCACAAAATACCTACTAATTCAAATTTTACAGTGAAGAAATCTGACACACACCACATAGCCAAAGTAATCAAACCTATCAAATAACCACCAACAGTGGCACAAACCAACATCAGGCGTCTCCACAAGTGCACGGAGATGGATATAATATCACTTCTGAGGTATTTCCATCCAAATGCATAACCTAAATCTAATCATGAGGAAATATCAGAGAAATTTAAATGGACGGTCATTCCATAAAATAACAGGTGAACTTTTCAAAAATGTTACTGTCATGAAAGAAAAAATAAAAAAACTTGACTAACAGTCCGATTTAAAAAGACAAAAATCACATAAAAATTAAATTCCAAGTATGATCCTGAAGTGGACTCTGGACCAGAAAAAAATACTTACTATGAACACCATTATTAGGGCTACTGGAAAAATTGAAATAGAGTCCATCGACTGGGTAATAGTATTGTTTCAGTGTTCCATTTCCTGCTTTTGATCAGAGAGGACCATGGGGCTTTTTAGGTGGATGTGCTTGTTTTTAGAAAACATACACCAAAATATTTAGAAGTGGAGAGGTATGATAGCAGCAACTAGCTTTCAAATGATGAAAAAATATATATAATCTGTATATAGAGATAAAGTGGGAATGATAAAACAAATGTGGCAAATGTTGGCAACTGGTTAATCTGAGAAAAGGGTATTTAGAAGTTATTTGCCCTACTTTTGCAACTTTCCTCTTATTTTACCATCACTTCAAAATTAAAGCTTTAATAAAGAAATTTAAGGGGAAGGAAAAAATAAAATTTAATTTGGAAAAGACCATAAACAATAGGAGCTTGAAGAAACAGGAACTCCAAAATGTCCATCTCATACACTAGAATTGGAATCTATAAAGTAAAACTTTGTGGGGAAAAAAAAAAAGTATTCTTACTTTTCTTATTTTTTAACTTTTTAAAAATGTTATTTTAGAGAGAGTCCACGTACACAAGAGCAGAGGAGAGAGACAGAGGGAGAGAGAGAATCCTAAGTAGGCTTCACGCTCAGCACAGAGCCTGACATGGGGCTCCATCCCACAAAGTGGTGAGATCATGACCTGAGTGGGAAACATGAGTTGGACACTCAACCAACTGAGCCACCCAGACACCCTGAGCATGGATTTTTTTTTAATTTAGGCTCAATCTCAGCTCTGACACTTAGCTGTGTGACCTTGAACAAAGTGACTTAACCACTTTGAGCTTCAGTGTCCTCATTTGAAAAACAGGTATACTGAGTTTTTCAGGGTTATGTTAAGCAGTAAATTAGGTACAATCTGTCCAAATGAAAATCATCAGATCCACCAAGTTAATACACCAAATTTTATTCATAAACACTGAACATTCCTAATCACAAAGAGTCAATTTTATTTAAAAAAAAATTTTTAATGTTTAGTTATTTTTGAGAGAGAGAGAGACAGTGCAAGCAGGGGAAGCGCAGAAATAAGTTCTGGGAGACATAGAATCTGAAACAGGCTCCAGGCTCTAAGGTGTCAGCACAGAGCCCGACATGGGGCTTGAACTCATGAACCACGAGACCATGACCTGAGCTGAAGTCGGACACTTAGCCAACTGAGCCACCCAGGCATCCACGAAAAGTCAATTTTAAATATTCCTAAGATTACCTTCTGACCTATTGAAATGTGTTTTTTTATTCTTTTTTTTTTTTTAACATTTATTTATTTTTGAGACAGAGAGAGACAGAGCGTGAATGAGGGAGGGCCAGAGAGAGAGGGAGACACAGAATCTGAAACAGGCTCCAGGCTCTGAGCTGTCAGCACAAAGTCCGATGTGGGGCTCAAACTCACGGACCGCGAGATCATGACCTGAGCTGAAGTCGGACGTTTTAACCGACTGAGCCACCCAGGCGACCCTGAAATGTATTTTTTTAATGTTTATTTATTTTTGAAAAAGAGAGAGACAGAGTGTAAGCGGGGGAGGGGTAGAGAGAGAGAGGGAGACCCAGAACCCAAAGCAGGCTCCAGGCTCCAAGCTGTAAGCACAGAGCCCCACACAAGGCAAGGCTCGAACCCATAAACCGCAAGATCATGACCTGAGCCGAAGTCAGAGGCTTAACCGACTGAGCCACCCAGGTGCCCCTAAACGTACAACAAAAAATAAGGAAGGGTTTTTCATTCAAAGTTCCTGTTACATTTTAGAAACCTGCTAGATCTATCTAAGGCAGATATTGTTGCCTATCCAGTATCTTTCCCTCTTCTTCCTTAGGAGAAGTTGAAGGTGGCAATATGCCCAACTACAGAAAAGTACTACATTCTCACTCTCCCTTTCAGATGTGCTGACTGTATGACATAATCCTGGTCAGTGAAATATAAGCAGACATCATTGAGTTGAGCTACCAGATTCAACTAGTAAATGTCCTTTTTCCCTTCTCCCATTTCTTCATTCCAGAATATGGTTGTAATGGTCAGAATTGCTTCTAGCTTCATTACAATATTCAGTATTCAGTATGGTACTGTATTTCCTAATGGCTGGGCTATTGAGCAACACTGTGATATTCACCCAACTAAAAGAAAAAAACTAACAGAGCGTTATTATTTCAACACACAATAACAAGTGGCTACCAATAAAATACTTCTTAACCACATTAATTAACTTAATTTTGTTTAGTATTCCCTTTGTATCCTCTCACCAGAACTAAGTACAAATTAAAACTTCTAAATGTTACCTAAATGATAAATGTTTGAAACAGAGCCAAAGCACATGGATTTCTTGAGTAAATTTACATTAACATCTCTGTGCCTCAATTTCTTCATCTTCAATATAGTAATAAATAGCACTTAATTCAACAAGTCAAGATAACACATGGCCTAGCACAGTGTAAGCCCTCAACGTTAGAGAAAAAAGTAGTTTGCTGTTTTCTCATGACAAATTAAGGTTTCTTCTTCCAAAGTAAATAATACATAATTCACATGTAGTAGAAGTAAAAAATACCACACCATAAATCTAGTTTAAAAAGGAAACAATGTGTCTAATTGTGGTTAAGAAAAACTCTTCTAAAATTAACAAAAGTAGGCAATAACTTTATTCATTGATTTATTTATTCATTCAGTAAGCACTGAACACTATGTGTAAGGCACTAATCTAGGCACTGAAGACATCGTAGTAGATGAAAGAGCAAGCATAAACCTTCAAATGTAATTTAAATTATGTAAAATTACATTAAGAAAAATGTTATAAAAAGAAATGGGATTATGATAGAGATCTGCCTCATTCAATTAAAAATGAAGAAGTATGCTATACTGCCTTTGAGTGAGAGCGTATAGCCTTTGATTTAAAAATACACATTTCTAATAAAAAATTTTTTAAATACTAGATAAATAAATAAACAAACAAACAAACAAACCACATTTCTAGGGCACCTGGGTGGCTTAGTAGGTTAAGTGCTGACTCTTGGTTTCGGCTCAGGTTATGATCTCACGGTTTTGTGGGTTCGAGCTCTGCATCAGGCTCCACGCTGACAGTGCAGAGCCTGCTAGGGATTCTGTCTCCCTCTCTCTCTCTGCCCCTTCCCCACTCGCACTGTCTCTGTCTCTCTCAAAATAAACTTTTTTCAAAAAGTAAATAAATAATAAATAAAAATGCACATTTCTAAGTATTTTTAAAGCTTTTGCTTTTAAACATTGTCTTCAATCTAAAATTTATTTGCAACATATGATTAAAACCAAGTATCTAGAAAGTAAATACACATGGCACTGAATATTTCAAGAAATTGCCATCTTTGGTGGCACTGGTGATTTTCAAAGATAAACCAGCCATGTGCACTGATGCATTATGTTTTATCCTAGCTCAACAACTGTATACTTTTTCCTGTCACTAAACTCTTCAGTTGGTTAAAAAATAAGTTGGATTTCTTCTTCCAGCTTCATGAACACATTATGTCAAGCTCAAAAAGTCAATCTTTGTGACCTCACCATCTGCCATGATCTCTTGTCAGTTTCAAACAATGCAACTCCCACAGATGGTCTCAAAATGCAAATCCTTTTCCTTCCCAATCACAATTAGCAGCTCTGGCCACAAAGCCTTTTAAAATGGTACAGCACTAATCAAAATAAGGAGAAGGAATAATTATGGGTAAGTCTGTAGGATTAACATCACCTAAATCTGGGTATGTAGACTTTCTAACACTGCTGAAAAAGAGGCTATGAAAAAATTACATTTCAGCAAAGGCAGCATATTTAAATGAAGACATTACTAATTTTAAAA